AGAAAGGGGACATTTTAGAGAAGCGGCATATGACGAGACTAAAGAGCAAAAACAAGAGTGCGCTCGCATAGATAGATAGATAGATAGATAGATAGATAGATAGATAGATAGATGGATAGATAGATAGATAGATAGATAGATAGATAGATAGATAGATAGATAGATAGATAGGGGGAAAAGAAGAGAGAGAAGAATTAAGAGAGCCGTCTGAGACCGGAGGGGGGAGCGGTGCAAGGTGCGGGTTGAATACATGTAACTGAAAGTGGAAATCGGGAGCCCTTAATCGCCATCCTTCCTCAAAAACCAAAAACGGACTCCTCTCCCCCTCCCCCTCCTTTAAATATTCTCTTATTCGGTTTTTACATCTGCTTTCATCAGTAACCCCCCCCACACACACACACACACTGCACTGCCCCCAAACCCCAAACACTTTTCAGACTGTACACTTCGATAAGAGTAGAACATTATACATGTAGTCTCTGGCCGCCTCATGGGCAAAAATTCAAAATGTCTGTCAACCCAACAGAAAATGTAAGGTGTGTCCCTCTTCTCTCTCTTGCCCTTTTTAACTCTTAGTGGAGCACAAGCCATCAACAGCATTACTCCAGCGAAGCCTGTCCTGAGCATCCTTTTCTGTCTGTTTCCATGTTGTCCCGGCTTTGTCCTCGCTTTTTCAATTTCAAAGGTGTGTCCCGCACGCTTATTATATGACCTTATGCAGTTGGGAGCGCAGTAAAACACTTATTTAAAAAACAACAACAACAACAACAGGTCAGAAAAGTAATCGCGGCATCTGAGGAGCAGAAGTTAGGCCTTTCCTGTCGCAAACTGAAGACCTGAGTGCCATTCCCGAGAGGAGAAAAGTTAGATCAAGTACCTCGTCGGTCTTTTTGCTGGGATGTCGTGCGTATATCCCTCTCAGCCCGGGTTGGCTCTGACAGGTTTGGTCGAAGCCAGCCTCTTTGTTTGTTAGTTTATTTGTTCATTTGTTTGTTTGAGTAAGGAGAAGAACATCGGCACAATACTGGTCATTTAGTGCTGGTGAACAGTAAGACACCGACAGACAGAAACAACAGAGGCAGAGGGGAAAGTAAAGAAGTAGGACCAGCCAGTGGCGCCCTCCAACCATTCACAGAGACAGACAGAAACAACAGAAAGGAAAGTAAAGAAGTACGACGACCTACCAGTGGCTCCCTCCAACCACCCATACAGACAGACAGAAATAACAGAGGGGAAAGTAAAGAAGTAGGACCTACCAGTGGTGCCCTCCAACCACCCACACAGACAGAAACAACAGAGGGAAAGTAAAGAAGAGTTTTACGGCACTTGCAACACAGTAAGGTCATATAAATGCAGAAGATTAGAGGTGTTACAAGAGAGTAACAAACACCAAAAAAAGGATGGGAGAGAGAGACGATATATTTTTCATAGGAAAGAAGGGGCAAACAAGCCAGCCTCTTAAATTATCTAAATCGTGTCAACGGGGGTGTAAAACTTAATATAAAGGCTAGATGTACAGTTTTGTTGAAGTTTTACGCCTCTACCAACACATTTTAGATCATTTAGGGGGCATGCATATGACCTTGCCTGCCAAACTCGAATCTTCTGCATGCAACAGCGAAGCGCCTACCCGTTACACCACAGACGTGGTAAACTTCTTTTTTAAAAAAAATTTAGTAGAGGTTTTACGGCGCTCGCAACTGCATAAGGTCATATGAGCGCCAAGGGGTGGATGTCAACAGAGAAGTCTTTACAGAGAATCGGGTTTACTCTGCTCACCTCTCTAGCTTCAACAGCACAAAGTCTGCTTCGACTATCAAGGCACCCCGGAAAAAGCGGGTCACAAGAATGTGACAAACATACAAAAAAAGTAGAGGAAAATGACAATAGTAAGCATTAGAAAAGAAAAAGCAACAGTTCCCTATTGTAGTTCAGGAACAGTTATGAGCATGACATTTGTTGAATCAGCCCATTTACTATTCTACTGTGCATTGAAGAGAAAGGGAAATGGCTGGCAACCATGCCTATATCACCCAAAAGAGCAAACAAACACCAGGTTAGGGTATCTGGTAAAAAAAAGTCTCCGAGACATCAATAAGCAAAGGGTAACGACCAACATGCTCATTATTCTGGCTTTACAAAGATAAAAGGACCCAAATAAGTGTGTATATACAGACAGGGAGAAATACATCTTTCTCTATTGGAATGTTTTAGAATTCAGGAGACATCACAATTTGCAGGGGGCTCTGTTAGCCGCGCCCGTTCCTCTCTTAAATTTTAGTTTTTAGTTTTAGTAAGAGTTTTACAGCACTTGCAACACAATAAGGCCATATAAGTGCCGAAGATCATAGGTGTTACAAGAGAGTAACAAACACAAAAAAGGAAAGGAGATAGAGATGATAGATTTTTTATAGGGAAGAAGGATCAAACCACACCAGAGCACCCGCTAACTACCCACGACACCAGGTTAGGGTATCTGGTAAGAAAGTCTCCGAGACATCAATAAGCAAAGCGTTACGACCAACATGCTCATCATTACTCTGGCTTTACAAAGATAAAAGGGCCAAAATAGTGTGTACTGTGTACAGTACAGTCAGGAGAAATACATTCAGAATTCAGGAAACATCATAATTTGCTGGGTGCTCTGTTAGCCCCGCCCCCTCCTCTCTTAAATTTTAAAGATCTAAACCGTGTTGATGAGGGTGTAAAATTACTGACAGTTTTTTTTTAAACCCTATCCGTATGCCTTGGGGTCATTTTGTACCACAGGGTTGTATTCTTCACATTTTAAAATACCTCTAGTACGAAGGTCTCTTTGAAACTTTCAGTATTTCTCAAAAAATCATTTTGTCAGACTGCTATGCAAAGCATACGGACCGGATTAACGAGTAAATGTCCTTTTTGGAAAGTGGTCATATGGATACTTACTTATACTTTTTACTTTTTCATCCTCTGTTGCCGTTAAGCGTCGAGGGGAGATGCAGTTTTCTATGGTAGGTCAGCTCCATTGCTCTTTCAGTTGTGATGTTATGTTTTCTTAGGGTTTCCTTGACACCCTCGATCCACCTTTTCCGTGGCCTTCCACACAACGTACGGATAAGGTTAAATGATCTAAATCGTGTTGATGGAGGTGTAATAACACTAATATAGCTTTTTTTAAAAATAATTTTTTAAACAGATATTCCTCTTAGCGGAGTCACCCATGGCGGAAAAGGTCAAAGTCTCTCAGGCAGACCGACACTTCTATATCAAACCAAATTATGTAAAGAGACAAAACTAAAAAATATCAACCACAAAAAATTAACAGGAATCTCAAGATTTTATTACACAATGGCAATAGATCAAACCCACTTTCAAATACAAATTATGCTTCTTACAAGATCAAATTGACCAGAGCTTTCAGGGCAGGCATGACGTCCACAGTTATCACAGATCATGTACCTTCTTCTACAACGAGCTTCACCCCCAAACTGATCCCAGGACACAAATAGTCTGCTGTCTCTCCAACTAAGGGGCAGCTCCCCAGCTGATGAGGTGCCACTCAAACACACAACTTCTCTCAATTAGGACTGGCTGCAGTCCCCATACTTATATCATGACTATGGTCTGGCATTTAAAGATACAGTCAAACAAAAAAGTGAATCCTTGAAATCAGCCCAGTGCAACCCCCCCCCCCTCCATCTCCACTCAAACTGTGTACACATTTGGAAAATTGTTCAAAAATAAACAATAACAACAACAATCCTAAATCCATTCATACAATCAACAGATTCAATACAAAAGTAACTCTTATGCATGGTCAACATAAAATGCACAACGACTTTATAAAGCACTGACATTATCTAACATTTGTCCTCTGACGCCATACTTTTCGAGTATCTTCCAGAGTTTTGCATGGCTTATACTGTCAAAAGCCTTCTCCTGGTCTATAAAGACCATGTTGGATTCTTTGTTGTGTTCGATTGTTTTCTCACATATCTGCCTTAATGCGATTACAGCATCCGTGCATCCTCTTCCCGTTCGGAATCCAAACTGAGTTTTGCTCAGATTTCTCTCTACAATAGGTCTTATCCGCTGTTCTAGTATCTTTCTGAATCAACCACTCCTCTATTTTAAAACAATTTTCGACAAATGCAATATGAAAAAGATTTAATATGTAAGGATGAGGAAGAAAGACTTTTTTTACACGGCTTACGACAACCTCATCAATTTGAAAAAACACAAAAGGCCTCCGACAAATGTATCATGACGTCCAGTAGTTGGCTCAGGAAAGAAGATAATCCTCCATACACAGGTTCAATTTCCACTCCAAAGAAATGTTTAAGAGACAAAATATAGGTCAAACAGTTCAAACTCAGATGCCCGTAGGATTGCAGAAATGAGACAGATAAAACATACCTCACGCAGCAGTCATTATTTTCTAACAACAGAATCAAATAGGCCGTTGCTTCTTGCTAGCCACATGAGGCGTTACATCACTACATCATGTACAGACTTCAACAAAAGTTAGGGACTACTAGCAAACACTCTGGGTGGTCTTCTTGGGTCGACCTGCACGTGGGCGTTCTTGGACTGATCCAGTGGCTTGATGGCGCTGCCTCAGGCGGACAATGACAGAGTGTGACACTGCAAGCCTTCTGGCAACTTCTCGGGCTCCAACTCCATCCTGCAGCCATGCCATAGCTCTGGCACGATCAAAGTCTTTCAGCTTTTGTCTCGGTGGCATATTGATGCGACACTGGATTTTGCGCAAACGGTAGCTTATATTGCCACCAACGTGAGCACAGTTCAAGACAATACACCCGTTTGTCACGAGCACCCGAATTTTTAACTGAGGAATGTCCATGGTGTTGCACACAAGTCAACAAAAAAACAGCAAACTTGGCGAGGAATTTTCGTGCCGCATGTGGTCGTTTTGCCCCTTTAGGAGGCTTTGCAGTACGCATCGGTGACCCATTAACACTTTTAGAGCAACAAATTTTGAAATATTCCTTGCTGTCTTTTTTTCTTATTTTTTTCAAATCAGGGCTGTCTGTCAAGGTGGTCTTTAACTCTTGGTGAAGTCTGTAGAACAGCAGTACAGGCAAACACACTGATAATTTCTCATACAAAAGAAACTACAGAGGAGTCCACTAGAACGGAACACATTTAATCTGTTTTAATAACAGATTTAAACGAAAAGAAACTAGAATATCTGATTTTTTTTCTTTCTTAGCTCTAAGCCAAAAAACCTACCAAAACCCAAAAAAATCCGGTTGTCCCGCAGATTTCGGTTTCACCGGACTTCACTATATCAGCTCAGCCTACACAGACCGACGAATAAAACAACTGACTCTATTAACAATAGAAAGATACAAAAGGGTTAACACAATAAGACTGAACAATCCACAACAAAAGTATCAACTCTTGGCCACTTTCTTCAGCTCGTTATACTTGTCGATGTGCTTGGTCACCGACTCTGTGATTTGATCAGCGTTGAGCGAGCGGCCAAAGTAGTTCACAAACTCTCCTTCTGGGTTCACCAGATAGATGATGATGGTGTGGTCAACCTGGCCAAAGACAAACAAAAAACAGCGTAAGTCAGTACGAAATTTGGGTTGTTTTTTTAATTTTGGGATTTTTAAATTTTAGTTTATTTTTTAATGTAGTTGGGGTTTTCTTAGTTTTAGTAAGAGTTTTACGGCACTTTAAAAAAAAATAGTTTTAGTAAGTGTTTTTACAGCACCTGCAACACAATAAGGTCATATAAGTGCAAAAGATTAGAGGTGTTACAAGAGAGTAACAAACACAAAAAAAGAAGGAGGAGAGATCAGGACGATAGAGACATTTGATAGGAAAGAAGGAGCAGACCACACCAGAGCACCCGCCAACCACCCACAATGTAGCTGTTCTATCGCCTCCATCTACACATTTTCCATCATTTAGGGGGCAGGATTAGATCTTGTCTGCGCAACTGATGAAAAAGAGACGCAGCAAGCGAGATACTAGACGCACAGAGCCTCTGACATTATCTGCTCTCAGTCCCGGTACTGTTCACAATGACCGACCCCAGTGCAAGTAAAGTACCGGAACTTCATTCCGCCGATAGCCCCCCCAGTACTAATAACCACTACTAGACAATAAAAACGAGCCCAGTTTTAGTTTCAGTGAGACTTTTACGGCACTTGCAGACATCGGAAATACTCTATACAGCGACAAAGCACAGCTGATTAAAACCTGCAAATTCTTTGCCATATCGACAGACCGAAGGGCTAGAACCAAAATGGCCGCTGGATCGGAAAAGTAAAGTAAAGTAAAGTATGGCACTTGCAACACAAATAGGTCGTGTACGTGCAGAAGATTAGAAAGGTGTTGCCAGAAAATAACATACAAAATAAAGGAGGAAAGATAAGAAAGAATGATAGACTTTTGATAGAAAACGAGGAGCAAAACCACACTAGAGTACCCGTTTTATTTCTTTCCCCCCTAGATCAGTTTGGGGTGAAGCTCGTTGCAGAAGAATGTGCATGATCTGTGAGCACAGTTTGGGTTTTAAGAGTTTTACGGCACTTAAAAAAAAAAAAAGTTTTAGTAAGAGTTTTTACAGCACCTGCAACACAATAAGGTCATATAAGGGCAAAAGAAACCAGGAGTCCAGATGTTCTCAATCAGTAACTTGTGGCAAGCTGGCAAGAAGAAGACCACATTTGGATGGGGAATAAAGATTAGGAGAACGGTAAAAAGATGATTAAATAGCACATTGCACCAGAGCACCCACAAAAGAACAGGAATTTTTTTTCTTCCTGAATTTAAACTTTTCAGAGGAATTTCAGAAGAGACATATATGTGACAGCGTGGTGGAATCAGGCTCTTGTCAAAATAATCAAAGTGAAGAAACTGGCATTTTTCCTCAGGTTTGTGAATTTTTATCAAATTTTTGTTTTTTGGCTCAACACCTTTCATGCCCATTAAAGAACTCATTTCTGTGTGGATTTTTCTTAAAAACGTTGATTAAAGGAACAAAAAATGTAAATTTTCAGTTACCACTGACTCTCAAGCTAAGGAAATAACTAATCTTTGGCAGCCATTTTCTCACTAATTTTACCTCTGAAAACAGGTGACCCCACCTCCTTCTTTCGCAAATATCTCGACTTGTATTCAAGATAAATGGATATTTTTTTCATTCAAATAAAGACAAGTGAACAAGCTTTAAGGTGATACCAATAACTCTACATGCCCAAAAATTGACGAGAGCCTGATTCCACCACGCTGCCTCACTCACATATAACAAACACAAAAAAAAAAAAAACAACGCGGGGGGGGAAAAAAACTGACTTCAGACAAAAAGCTGGATCCTCCCATCCTGGAGTTAATTTTTCTTTTCCCCCCACTCACTATATAGTCATTGTCCGCATCCCTGGGTCCCTTCCCGAAGTACACACGATACTTTTTAGCCACTGCGCGGATCTCATCCTCCGTCCCGGTGAAACCAAGCAGACGCGGAGTTTTGAATTCTGAGGACAAAAGGAAAGTTTTTTAGTGAGAGTTTTATGTTAAGCCTAAAATAAATTACAAATCATATGGCCAACGCTCTTTTTCATATTGTATATTATACACGTATGTGTGTATGTATGTGTGTGTGGAGTGTGCGTGAGTGAATATGTGTTTGCACGAGTATGTAACACTATGTACCTTTAAAATTGATTTGTAAATCTATAATATGTATCATGTTAAGCGCATAGAGCATTGCATAAGTGGATATGCGATACGTAAATGTAATCCATTATTATTATTATTATTATTATGGCACTTGCAACACAATAAGGTCATTATATAAGTGTCGAAGATTAGAGGTGTTACAAGAGAGTAGCAAACCATAATTTCCCTAGCAGCCCACCTATACCCCCCCCCCCCCACCCCCAATCCCTCCCCTTCATCTCTTGATTTCCCTTTCTTTACATGTTGAAAATTTTGACCAAACTGAATTCTGATGGAAAAAACCACTGAAACGTGTGTGGGCAATATTGTGCATCAAAATTTGGTGTCAAACTTTCGCATCAAAATTTGGTATCAAACTTTCGCATCAAAATTTGGTATCAAACTTTCGCATCAAAATTTGGACGCTTTTTTTAAAAACATGTATGGGCCCTTTAGACAAAATCCTGTGATGAAAAAATCTACGTGTTTTACCTGAGCAGATTACATGTACCCCTCAACCAACATCTCAACCGAATTGGAGTAAAGCAGTCTGCTGCCTGCCCATTATGTGACTACCCCTCAGAGACAGTGGAACATCATCTGTTCTGTAGAAAACTAACTGATTTAAGGGGATGTTTTCTTCCCAAGCTACCCCACACATCTAATTGCCTCTACTCCTCAAGACAACAATTAGAACAAACATGCAACTATTACCGAATGGCATCATGCAGAAGAGTTAACACTCAGATGCCACTGGATCCCTAATAACAACAACAACCTGAGCAGATTAGTAAAGAGAAAAATCTGTGTCATTCTTTCAACAAGTGAACCTACACTAGGCTATCATGTATCTTTTTGCTTTTTTCAAAATCTAGAATTGGAATTTCAACTGAATATTCCTCAAGTATATAGATCTACAATTAATACCACAGACTAAGAAACAGTAATAAAAAAAATTAATCAAAACTTTTGGGTTATATTTTTTTTTAGTAAGAGTTTTACGGAACATGCAACACAATAAGGTCATAGTTATATAAGTGCTGAAGATTAGAGGTGTTAAAAGGGAGTAACAAACACACAAAAAAAGGAGGGGATATAAAGACGATAGATGTTTGATAGGAAAGAAGAAGCAAACCACACCAGAGCACCCGCCAACCACCCACTTTTGGGCTTAGCACATATGGTCAATTGCCAAAAACTGTGCCATCAAAATGACTACCAGACTCAATTTTTAAGTATCCCCCAATTATGTTGTTTTTACTTTTAACATATTAGGCCTACATAAATATGTGGCAGACTCTAACAGACAGGTTATAGGACAAGAACTGGCCAAGGATGAGAGACCAAACTGCTGATTTCTCTGCTCATCACTTTGGTCACTGTTTTTGTTTGTTGCTTTTTTTGTGGGTTTTTATTTTTATTCTTTATTTTATTTTATTTTATTTTATTTTATTTTATTTTTTTTGGGGGGGGGGGGGGGGGGATTGTAAGTGTTCAATGGCGCTCATAACTGCATAACAATATCATATGAGCGCACAGGACACATTAAACATTTTAAATTGGGTGGGAATAAATTTGGAACATAGCCCGGGCGGCTTCTCTTATCGAATGGTCACTGTTTGGCTGCATGAGAAAAAGTTGACTATCAACGTTCCTGAGGGTGTGGCAATCAACGTGTGACGTCCAGTAATCTTTTCTGTACTTACTTTTACTTACTTACTTTTTCATTCTCTGTTGCCGTTAAGCGTCGAGGGGAGATGCAGTTTTCTATGGTAGGCCAGCTCCGCAGCTCTTTCCGTTGTGATGTTATGTTTTCTTAGGGTTTTCTTGACACCCTCGATCAACCTTTTGCGTGGCCCTCCTCTTCCTTTATAGCCTGAGTGCTTGGTGTCGTAGGCTCTCAAGGCTGGCTGGTCAGGTGACATGCGTAACAGGTGGCCAAACCATTTTATTCTCTGTCTTTCTATCATGTAATGAAGGCAGGACTCAGTGCCGATAGCTGCTCTTACTTCTTCATTTCTCTGCCTGTCTCGTCTTGTGATGTTAAGGTTTTTGCGGAGACATTTCATTTCGCATGCGGTGATTTTGCTTTCATGGGTCCAGGTCTGGCACTGATAACATAATGCATTTCAGTCAATTCAAGTAGATCTTTTCTGTAAGTCCAGCAATGTGGCAGGCTCATTCTTTTACATCTGTGCCACTCTACACTCCTATATGGATCTGAATATTGGAGGATGACTGATCATGATCGTGCCAAGCTATCTTCTTTTCATACAACCAGCTTACGCCAAATTCTCCTAATCTTCTGGCCCAACAAGATTTCCAACACAGATCTTCTACGGAAATGTAGGCAAGAAGACATGACCACCATAATAACAAGGAGAAGATGGAGATGGATAGGACATGTTCTGAGAAGAGAACCAGACTCTATTGTAAAGACTGCCCTCCACTGGACACCCGAAGGACATACATCGCAAGAGGGGCAGACCCAAAGTGACCTTGAGACGCACAGTAGAGTCTGAAATGAAGTCTTGGAACTATTCATGGGGAACGTTGATCAAGATGGCATAAAATAGACAGAGCTGGAGACCTCTTTTTGCTGCCCTAAACGCCAGATGGCGTGACGGGTAGTAAGTAAGTTTTTTGTTTTTGTAAAGTGTTTTACGGCGCTCGCAACTGTATAGGTCATATGCGCGGGACACTCCTAATATTTTCAGTTGGTAGGAAATTTTGAATTTTTCCCGGGTGGCGGCCGAAGCCTACTCTTATCGATTTTAGACCACCAAGGGATCTTTAACGTGCGCAACTTGCACACGGGCCCTCCGAGATTTTTCGCCCTTGTCCGAGAAGGTTAGGTGTAGATCTTTCCTACCAGAAGATCAGGGGTGTGGCAGAAAGACAGCAGTAAGGAGGAGCCAAAAAGTAGCAGTAGAAAGGCTGCAGAAAAAGTCAGGAGCCCAGAGGAGGGGGGCAAAGGAGGTGAGGGGGTGGGGGCAAAGAGTGGAAATGAAAGCAGACAACAGAACATTGCTAGAGAGCAGGAAAGGAGGTGAAAGGAGACAATTTTAGAGAAGAAAATTTTTCGGTCGCTACCCGGATTCAAACCCGGGACCTTTGAATGAGAGGCCAACACCTTAACCTCTAGGCCACGAGAGCCCCCAGTAAGTAAGTAAGTGTGCCACTCTATGCAGATGCTGATGAAGGGGAGAAACAACTAATTTCAAAAAGTGACATGAGTCCAAGTACAGAACACATTTTTTTTACCTGCACAGTAGTCCTTGATGGCGGCCGGCGTATCTCGTTCCGGGTCCAGAGTTATGAAAATCGGCTGTAGGTTCGGTAAATGTGGGGCCTCGTCTGAAAATTCAGGGAAGACTGAATGAAAATGCGACCTTTTTCAATCAAATGCTCAACAATACATACGGAGTAGTGCATCTTGTACACATATCTGCCAACTTTTCAAAACATACAAACCAAGACTCTATACAAGCAGCTGGTCAAGATGATAGATGCTGGAAAACCCCCCCTCCCAACCCTTCACATAATACATATTTCTGCATTTCAGTCTATTCAAATAAAGGGACCGGAGCTCCATCATGTCTACAGAGTGACAACTCACCGAATTTCTTAATGATATTTGCCAGTTTTTCAAGTTCTTCAGGACAGATGTCCGGGCAGTGGGTGAATCCGAAGTAGATGAGCATCCAATGACCACGGAAGTCAGAGCTGGACCTTTTGTTGCCATGGTGATCTGTCAATGTCCAATCGCCTCCAAGCTTAGCTTTGTCAAACTCTTTGTAGCGGACTTTCTCACTTTCTGAGTAGACAAAAAGATATCAACAAGTGACAACAGTTTCTGGCTTAGCAAGAAAAACCAAAATAAAGTTTCATTTTAAGGGTTTTGACACCAGAAATCTACCCCTACCCTTTTACACAGGGCTGACCACATCCACAGCAGGCCTAATTTGACCATCTTTTCATCCGACCTCTTCCAAAGATATACCACATAAGTCCATGACGGCATAGGGAGCGACCACAGACCCATCGTGACTTCAGTGTCGACCTCAAGCCAAAGACAAAGGGTTTTGATAGGCTCACTGATCTATCAAAACAGGTAACATCAATAGTGTCTGTGATCTAGCGGTCAGGCTCTTCACTCCTGCAGCCAGGAGGCCCGAGTCCCTATTCCAAAGAGGGGATAATTTTTTATCAAGTATCTCCGTCTTTCAGCTCAGATGTTGTATCGGTAAATCTTTTCACGCCACAGAAAGGCAAAAGAACAGTCTTAAACTTTTTATCACTGTAACCATTGTGCCGGGGAGCCGCTGACAGCGGCTCGGGCACATTCCTTTACAACGACTTCAACATCAAATTATGTTTCGGCTATTGCTCTTTTACCAGAAGTTCATTCATTAGATGAAGAACTATCAAAATAGGTTTGCTAGTTTCGATTTAATGACCCATTTAATGATGTGTTTGTCATTTTTAGATTTAGCACCAAAAAAGGGCCCCGGTGTAGTGGGTTTACCCCCATCAGAGATGAAGAGTTAAGACGATACCAGTACCTCCATTAGCTAGCATAACTGAAGAGCACCTGATTACACCGCATTGTGACAAATATTTTTTGCCAGCATGACTCATTAAATTTTTTTTATAGTTTTCTTTTTTGTTAGAGTTTAACGACACTTGCGATACAATAAGGTCATATAAGTGCCCAAGATTAGAAGTGTTACAAGAGAGTAACAAACACAAAATAGAAGGACGGAAGAAAAGGACGATAGATGTTTGATAGAAAAGAAGAATAATGATAATAATAATAATATTAATGAAGATCATTTCTATAGTGCCCACTCCCGTGTAAACACAGCTCTAGGCGCTTTACATAAATGCAAACCACACCAGAGCACCCGCCAACCACCCACTTAAATGTTTTGTTTTCACTCTTCACTTAAATTTCCAGCATGTCATTACCCCAACTGTCTTGGGAAATGAGCAGGCAGATAGGATGGCCAAACTAGGAGCACAGAAAGAGCAACCAGACAACAGCGTTAACTACACAGAAATAAAAACTATTATAAATACACTATTTAAAGCATCTCAGACACCAGATAGCTGCCATGAGCTGTCCCACCAAGAACAAATGATTATCTTCCGACTAAGGACACAACACACGAGACAGAGGCAACATATGTACAGATGTTTTAAACTAGTACAATCACCAAAATGCCAGAGTGGAGAGGCGGACCAAACTGTAGAACACACCCTTCAGCACTGCAAGACACACAGGGCCCTTAGACAGGAAACGTGGCCAACCCCTCTGACACTACAAGAGAAGCTATACGGGCCGACAGATGAACTGAGCAGGACGGCCCAATTTATGAGAGATACCAGACTTCAAGTGTGATGCGATCGAGAAGAAAAAGAAGAATTACCCCTATACAACCAGGTAGCAACTGAAATAACCTCAAAGAGAACAAAACATTACACTGCCATAAGCCAATGAAACACCTTTTTCATTTTGACACCAAAATCTTTTATTTGCTAAATCGAAAGCCTGATCAGTTAACCTACTTGTGTGAAAATATCAAAGTGAAACTACGACAAGTTTTTGAATAAATTAGAATTCAAATTTCAGAAGAACACTATTTTTAAATGGTTACACAGGCAAACAACCACTTTTTCTCAAAACTGCTGTGAGTAAAAAAAAAAAAAAAAAGGCATTTCGTCAGCTTACTGCAGTACACGTATTGATCTTAAGGCCTTGTCTTGTTACATTATGGGCTGGCTTTCTAAGCATGTGCCAGATCCACCATCCTCTTCTTTTCCTGAATTCCCAAGTTTGATTCTACTCCCCTTATACAGTGAAGTCCACTTATAACGAGTCCTGAAATAACGAGAAATCTGTTATAAAGACACTATTTTAAAACCCCGATTTTTTCCCTTCTTTATCTTTGTAAATAAAATGCTGCTATAGCACAATCAGACAAACACCGGAGTCAGTTATAGCGGAATATTGTTGCTGCAGTGCAACGTAAAAAGGCCAATTGTACATGTAAAATCTCGCCAGTTGAAAAACTTGTTGGTGATCTAGCGAAACAAAGAATGGGAGAGCCCACGTGTGCCAACAATGAAGGCCGGAGCGAATGAGTGGGGAGGGAGTGGCATGCGCAGACAAGCAGAACACATCGCGTGATATATCAGCCTAGTCTAGATTATCTAGGCCTCTCACTTCTCCGATGCGGGGATGGAGAGGTCACAGTGCTGTAACGGATGAAGCGAATGTGTGACGTACACAAACAGACGGAATGCACCACACGGTGTGGTGGGGTGGGGGACAACACAGCAGGCGAGCTATCCCAGAGCCCTTTCTTTCTGGTCGCCAAAGCCCTACAGAAAGAAACCTGATTTGATTTTTTATCAAGTAAGACCTAGAGGTCATGTTGAACAAAATCATCATCAGGGGAGATAACAAAAAGAAATAAATAGACCACCCAACTTATTGATAAGGTCTACTTTAATATTTCCCTTGAACTTATTACTGGATCCCTTATAACGAGAATCCTGCTATAACAGACATTTTGCACCAATCCCCTCCCTCTCGTTATAACAGGATTCCACTGTACTACATTTCTGATGCTGTCCGGCCAGTGTACTTTAATGATCTTCCCCAGTAGTAGAGGTTTTTCAGCGCTCGCAACTGCGTAAGGTCATATGAGCGCCAGAAGATTAGAAGTGTTACAATCGAGTACCGAAACAAACATAAAAAAGAAGGAGGGTAGATAAGGATGATAGGTGTTTTAATGGAAAGAAGGAGCAGACCACACCAGAGCACCCGCCAACCACCCGCAATGATCTTCCCCAGACAACCATAGATGAAGGAGCATACAATACATGTAAATTGTTTATTATCTATTATAGCTAGTTTTGGCTGAATGGATGGGCAATGGGCAAAACTGGAAAAAACTGCATTTTCACACATGACTGCTCCCAGCTCAAAAGACGCACTAAATTCCCTGAGTTGAAGAGAACAAGTCACTATCTTTCGCCTACGAACACAGCACATACCACTGAATTCCTACCTAAATAGGATCCGTAAGGATACCCCATCCGACTGCCCCTTGTGTGACTTCCAGGATGTAACAATATCACAACACCTCTCTAGCTGCTCTGCACTTAGCGACCTGCGTAGTACCTACCTACCTGCCTCCCCAGACATTGGAAATACTCTATACAACAACACAACACAGCTGATAAAAACCTGTATATTCTTTGCCATATTGATAGGCCGAAGGGCTAGAACTCAGATGGCCGCTGGATCGGAAAAGTTAGTTTCCTTATATCCAGCAGGTACAATAAAGGAAAATTGCAAGGAAGGTCGTAAAGAGAGCATAGTGCTGAGAACTGGCCTGATGTCAACAGCCATCACAGAAATACAAAAAAATTACCGATATCTTTCTGGTGGTCGGCTCCCTGCACCAAGTAGTACGTGATCCCCGCGATGCCTGAGACAATCACCAGCCTCTGCCACCATGGCTGCCGACAGACACGAAATGTTGTTAAACATTACATACATACTGCCTTAATTGGCTCAATAGACGGTATCGTCTCATCCACACATACAAGTCATGCTCAACTGAAATAAAATTATTCCAGCACATTGTAATGGCAGTGGTGGGTATCCTAAAGTTACAATTTATTATCTCTTTTGGAAACATTTCCTAACAAGCTCAGTATATCTATAGATTTTTTCTCACAAAACTTCAGACGACATACAGCATTGAATTGACAAAATCTAAGCACATAAAAATAGCTATATCTTGAAGTTGTATTTATATTTTACACACTCTGTTTGGAACATCTCCTGCCAACCTGGCGTTTTATGTATTGTGCAGGTCTTTGGTGAGCCGTGAGGCGTAGTGGTCTGTTCCTCTACTTTTCTTCTTTGCTTATACGATCCCAATCCAAGAGTAGCCAGAAGCGGACAATATCTGAATGACTTAAAAAGCAACAACTGTACAAAAACAACGGCAAGAAAGACTTAATGGAGTACTGTGAAAGGACAAAGAACGCTTCTTCTTAGGGATAATCTATTCTGTCTAATAACATGTTAAATTTTAACAAAGACCACACAATGCTTTCTTTAACTCTAAGGTGGTGAAAAGTTTTTCATAGAGTCCATAATTTTTGTTACTGATGTTGAGGAACGGAGGAACATCGTTAGAGAAGAAGGGAGCTGGTTTAATTTAGTTACAATTCATGGACAATTGCTTAAGAAATAAGCATCCGTAAGACAAATGATTTATCATTTGGGTAAAAAGAAAAAAAAAAAGAAAATAATAATCTCCCATTGATCCTTCATCTTCTTTGAATTGCCCTGCTAAATCTCAGTGGTAGTCAACCGCTAGTTCTGCAACCTGCAGAGCAATTCATTTTTACATTTATAATGTGACAGTTTTTCCAACTTCGCAAGGCCGCTTGCTTCCCCTTCATGCAGATTCCAGTTCAAAAGTCCTCGATATTTTCCACTTCACTTTGCTGTCTGTGAGGAATGAAAACTTACAATGTTCAAGGTCGTTCCCTTGCCATCTGATCCTGACCTTGAAGAGTAGAAACGAAGCCCTGGCACAAGAACCTTTCGCACTGGGAAATGTTTAACTGGAAAATCATTTGGCAACTTGGTCTTTGAAGACATCTGAAAGATGAGAAATATTTAATCCTGAAAGTTAGTGCCTGAACAAACACAGACTTATCTTTCACTTACAACATTTGCACGGAGACACTGTATATAGATCTATATATTATATATTATATTATACCCAGTGAGGGATTCAATCTAAAATCCAAGATAAAGGAAGAGGACTAGGTGCTCCTACCATAAACCAGGGGCTGAATTCCTTTCTCAACTCATTCTCAAAAACTTTAACACTCACCTGACCTTTCAGTACATTGAAAATTAAAATAAATTGGAATAGAATGTTCAATCATGACAAGAGCAGTTTATTAAGTAACAAGGTTACAATCAGGAGGCTGTTGCAATTTTGTACTGGGAGAAGGGCTAGTTAGAGAGCTGGGTACCCCCAACTTTAAAGAAAAAAATTACATAAATTTGTATAGTATTCTTACATTTAAATTTTAACACACATGGGAAAGGACTATAGTGATTGAGTTTATTTGTGCTTGCATTATAGTCATGATCAACCACTTATATAATCTCCGGTAAGCTGCTCCCAGGGGTACGCAGTCGGAACAGCGGTGCCAGTGAACCGTAGGCAGTGACTCAGGCATATTCTTTATGTTGGTTTCGATGTCAAATAAGTTTTTGGCAATTGCCACATGATAATAAAGATTTTTTTTAAAACAAAAAAAACAAGAAGCATTAATAATCATTATGTTACAATATAATCACATTGCAAAACTCCTGATCCAAAAACCCCCAAAAACCCAAAGATCGATCCTATTCTATCACAGTTGAAATTATCTAAGATGGCCACTCATTATCAAGTAGAAAGTGGCTGTATTCGACAGATGGATGCTTTGGGCAGTGTCATATAGACCTAATATTTTTTTTAAGCAGGGAAGAAAATACTGAAATGGGAAGCGGTTATTTTTTCAAATTCTTACAGCATGAGATTTCTTGGTGGGCACATAGATCTAGATTAAATATAAGTCATAAAAAAACAACACATCGTTAGAAAAGCAGGCTCATACATGTTGGTTTCAAACTGACTGAACTATAAATTAAAAACTAGATTTCCGGAGGAGTTCCGCAGAGGGTCGGCACTAACCGTGATCAGGTCCACCAAGCAAACTATATTATAACAGAGTTAGGGTTAGGGTTAGGGTTAGCCGGGTTAGGGAATAGGGTTTACGGTATCGCCGTGGCTGCCCGTACAAGACCGTACGGAAAAGAATAGTGG